TGCCATGGCGTGCCATGCCAGGTGCCTTGCCATCAACGGACATCAAGCCATCATGCCATGGCATGGCATGGCTATGTTCCATCATGGCATGGCATCGTATGGACCTTGCCATCATGCCATGGCATGCCATGTCGGGTCCAGCATCCCGGAGCCGTGTTCATCATGCCATGGCATGGCATTGTCTGAACCTTGCTATCATGCCATGGCATGATGGGAAGGTCCAGTCTCCCGGAGCCGTGGTCATCATGCCATGGCATGACACCGTGTGGACCTTATGAAAATGCCATGGCACGATTGCATGATGGCAAGGGGCAACATGCCATCCTACCATGGCATGGCATGGCTATTTTCCATCATGGCATGGCATAGTCTGGACCTTGCCATCATGCCATGGCGTGCCATGCCGAGTGCAGTATCCCGGCGCCGTGTTCATAATGCCATGGCATGGCATCGTCTTGACCTTGGCATCATGCCATGGCATGATGGCATGATGGCAAGGGACATCAAGCCATCATGACATGGCATGGCATGGCTATGTTACATCATGGCATGGCATCGTCTGGACCTTGCCATCATGCCATGGCATGCCATGTCGAGTCCAGTATACCGGAGCCGTGTTCATCATGCCATGGCATGGCATCGTCTAAACCTTGCTTTCATGCCATTGCATGATGGGAAGGTCCAGTCTCCCGGAGCCGTGGTCATCATGCCATGGCATGGCATCGTCTGGACCTTGCGAACATGCCATGGCACGATGGCATAATGGCAAGGGGCATCATGCCATCCTGCCATGGCATGGCATGGCTATGTTCCATCATGGCATGGCATAGTCTGGACCTTGCCACCATGCCATGGCGTGACATGCCGGGTGCAGTCTCCCGGAGCCGCCGGACCTTGCCATCATGCCATGGGATGGCCCGGCGTCGCGGAGACAGCAGACCATGCCATGGCATGTCCCGGCGTTCCAGAGCCGCCGGACCATGCCATGCTATGGTCTGGCGTCGCGGAGGCGGGGGACCATAGAATGGCATGGTGCTCCGTCCTGGAGCCGCCGGGCCATGCCATGCTATGGTCTGGCGTCGCGGACGCGCTAGACCATACCATGGCATGGTCCGGAGTCCCGGAGCTGCCGGACCATGCCATGATATGGTCTGGCGTCGTGGAGGCGCCGGACCATACGACGGCATGGTCAGGAGTTCCTGATCCACCGGAGCATGCCACGCTATGGTCTTGCATCGTGGAGGCGCCTGGCCATACCATGGCATCGTCCGGAGTCCTGGAGCCGTCGGCTGTTCCGGCGGCTACAAACCATGTCATGGCATGGCCCGCCGTTCGCCGTTCCGAAACGCCGTGTACATGCCATTAGGTCTGGCGTGGCGCCTTTGGGAGACAGGCCCGCACCATTGCACGGTTCCCCTTGGTACGAAGCGAAAGAAACGTGCACGTGGAACGACGATAGGTAGATATATAGTACACCTTCGAGAACAACATATTTCCTTCCGACGAATGGAAAAGAACATTGATGTGGAACGGCGAAAGCTTTGTAATGCCATGGAATCAAACGGTCGCCCCACCTTTTCCCAAAACAAAAGGCCCTGCCGAACACTAACATAAAAAATCAAATGACTTAAAAAAAAAACAAAAGACCTTTCGCCCAAACAAAATACCTCCCGAACTAAAAAAGGCCTTTGAGGAGGGAGGGAGGGCCTTGCAGTGAATGTGTGTTGCATGATGGAGGCCCGGAGGGAAGGAGGAAGGGCCGTCAGCGGCATCAGGAACGTTAAAGCGAGTCGTTCTGCGTAAAATCGCGGGAGGGAGGGAGGGCTTTGAGTGAAGGAGGGAGGGCCTTGAGGGCGTAAAAGTGCGGGAGGGACGGAGGGTTATTCAACAAGTCCTCCATAGTGGACAGGCGTGCTGTAGGACAGAAGCCTTGAGGGGCGCAAAAGTGGTAGTCGAAGAAACCTCACCTTCTCAAAGGAAATGCAGAGGCAGGGTGGACTGCTGCCACACGAAAGCCCCTAACCGAGTGTTGAGGTTCGCAGGTAGCCTGTTTCCAGTTAACGAGGTTGTTCGAAGGCACCGTGGTTGAAGAAGACGCTCGGCTGGTCGACGACAGCATGCAAAGGCGGCCCAAGACGGCGCACAGCTGCTCGAAAGGCACCGTGTAAAGGCGCCCCGAGAAGGCGCTCAGCTGCTCGAAAGGCACCGTGCAAAGGCGCCCGGAGAAGGCGCAGAGCTTCTCGAAGGCACCGTCATGCGCAGATCGCAATGGCGCACACGCGGAACGTAGGCACGATACGGTGTACGCGCAACTCGCAGTGGTGCAACTCGCAGTGGCGCAGGTGCAGCTGGCAACGACGCATGTATGGCAGAATAGCGCTCCGTCGGGCTCATGCTTTCGTGGGGATGCAAAATGAAGACGCCGACAGGGGCTAGGGTGTTTTTTCTTCCCCATCCAGCCCCGCGTGGACCCAAAAAACGTCGCATGCACGACAACCTG